GTCAGCTTTCAAGGTGTTTGCTTATTAGTGTACCCCAAAATTAATCACTCTTGTTCCCCAAATGACAGATTGTAGTTAAGGTGTTCTGCCAGAATCAAATGATTATTCCAGCTGAAAAGATAGCCAGTACAAATCAGGACATTTTTAGAGAATACTGGTAGGCAGGGGAAAATGAGGGGGGAAAGGACCTTTTTTTCTTTCTCTAATGAAAATGTGTCATTTACTATCAATATCTCAAATAGCCTGGTTATTACAAATTTTCACAGAGAGAACTTCAGTTGCTTTGGACTTTAAATGGAGTGTCTTACTGAAGCCAGATCATCTGGACAAGTTACAAGAGAACAAAAGACAAGACTTAATTTGATGGGCAGGTTTTGGAATTACCTGTGGTTTTTTGTTTTTGACAGTAACTAGGACAATATCCAATAAGGAACTCTATGCTCTTTACCACAAGCATAGAATAGTTGCATTAAAACCATAAATAAAAGTAATGCAAGAAACACTAAACCATCTAAGATAAACCTAACTGGTACTTTGAATATGCAAAGGCTAAGATTATTAAATGTGATAAAAACAATTCAGAAAGCAAATTTTCCATGGATTTTCTGATTAGAGCTGTTGTTATGCTGAAGAAGTTTGGAAACCTTAGAAAAGTCAGCATAGACTAAAAATATTTTTTCAGTCTTTGAATGTTTTCTGTTGAAATAAAAGATTTAGTGAGGTCTCATTCTCTAATTTCTTGGTATAGTCTGTTTTCATTCAGCTGTATGTAAAATTTGCAAATTACAATTGTTTTTTAAAGGTTGCTTATCACAATGAAGGGGCTCTTGATGGCTCTGAAAATTGCATATTGTTAATGCTGTGAATATAATCTATAAAATTTTTGGTTATATATAGTCCCATGGCTCAGGGATATGGAAAGGGTGCTTTCTTTTTATTAAAAAAAAGTCATATTTTTTACTTTGGAGAGAAGTAATATTTTAAGAAGCAGTTTTTTGTAAAAGATTTGAAAAAAAATGTTTTCAAACATATCTCACTATTGAACCGAACATGAAAATCTTTATGTAATTAGGGCATATAGTACATTACTTTTGGAGGCAAGATTAAGAGTTTTAAGATAAACCCTTAGTGTCACAGAAGCTTTATTATATATAAACTGTATAGAAATAATAGTATGTAGAGCTAAGTGAAGACTTAGAAATTATCTTTTTGTGAAGAAGAGGTGGAAATAGACCACCATGACCTTTTTTTTGTTTTTCAGGCAGGGAACCTGTTAAAAAGGTTCTGAGTATGTAAGACAGGAATTGATATGAAAATGTTTTAGGTAAGGCTTCCAGAATTAGTGAAGATGTTAATGAATAGATTGAACCTTCAAGAAATAGTAGTAAATTGTATACTGCAAGAGTTTAAATCCTAGCTCTGCCAGTAAACTTGCTGTGTATCCTTGAGCAAGTTAATCTCTCTGTCCCTCGTTTTCCTTATCTGTAAAGTATATATGATCATGCACTTACTTCTTGGGATTTTGTGAGATTAAATTAATTAATGCTACTTAGAATTTAAAACTTTATGAATGTTATCTCTATTCCTCTATTTTAATGTCAGGAAGAAGTTTTAGCAATTTATATGACAAATGTTAGAGATGCATAATAGTGCCTGTTCTCTAGAATCCAGTATTCTTTAATCATTAAATACTAATATATACAAGTTCTTTTCTGATAGAGTATTGTGTGATTTACAATTGTTTCTGATTGATATGTGTAGTTTTCTTAAGGAAACTTTTAAACTATGTTCCCCATGACTTCTGTATTAAATATAGTTAAAAAGAGTTTAATTTTTTGAAAAATGAAAGTTCATTCTTGTTAGTTCTATTGTTATTAATAGCAGTTATCATGCTGTAACTCAGCTAACCAAAATTACCTGGTTATGAGCCATTTAGAGAGTTACGTGTTTTAGTCTTAGAACAGATGGGAGGGAAAGTTCATGCATCACAGAGAGATAACAATTTCCATATTATACAGCCATAAAGTATATTAAGTAGAAAAGCTGCATACCTCACACAGTCACTGGAAAATGTTATGCTAAATAACTAAAAAGACCCACAAATACAGCCTCCACATGCCTGTTAAATATTTTCAGGCTGGTATTTACTGGGAAGTTTTAATCTAATTCAGGGATTAAGAGAAACATGCCAAATCTTAAATAATAGCAAAAAATAGAATTATAGGACCATAACTGAGAACTTGATTAATTAGCTAAGTAATTTGCAATTTTAATGTAGCAAATTATATGAAAAAGAGCCCTTGGTGTCAGGTTGGTGGGAATTTCCTTCAGAAGAACACAGTATTTGAGCCAAATTATGATTGACAATGATGTTAGAGATAAATAGCTAAAGGCAGTTAGGGTCAGATAGTAAATGATCAAGAGTCTTTCAAAAATACTTTTCATGTGGTAAACCACTGAGGCAGAAATGCAACCAATCCTGCAGACTTGAAAAATGGAATAACTCCCTATTTGCAAATACATGTGGGAGGTCCATAATTATCAGCTACTCTGTAACAAGCCTGGGTGAAAAAATCAGTTTTAGTCATAAACAGATTAATGTTAACTTGCAGAAAAATCTGAAGTTATTAACATGGCATACATGTAGAAAGAATATTTTATTAGAAGCATTTCTAATCTCTGTAGGTAAAAGAAAATAAGTATAGTTTTCTTTAAAAGTCTAGTAGTTGTTGAGCTCACTATCCATCCTTATTAAATAGAGCAGAGACACAGATGTTTGCCTCTGCTTATTCTATTTTACTTTTTCAGAAAAACTGTACAGAGTATGTACGAATATATTATTTATATTGCACTATATTTCTGAACCTGTTTATAAGAGTTTTCAAAACTAAAATGTTAATAGCTTATTTCATGTATTTTTAGTAAGATGTTGGTGGTATGTGTCCTTGAGGGAAATGAGTCAGTATTTTTTCTTTAAATTTTTGGCTTTGTTTTTAAACAAAAGCAAATGATGCCGAGATTGTGTTTTTTTTTTTTTCCCACTAAGTTTGGGGCCAAAAGTTTTAACTTGTAGATGTTGAGGGCATCTTTCTAATTATATATGAGGTTTTAGGTTAAACCTTATTTTATTTTATTTTTTTACCATGATTATTTTATTGATCCACCTACACAGTTTACTCAGGAACATAGCAAAACTTACATTACAGAAAATCCATAAACATTATTTTCATTTATCTATACTGATTTAATCTACATTTAAAATTCTTATGCAGTGGGTCTCGGGATTATCTTTTAAGATTAGAAAGATAATATTAGAATAAAATGCAGTAGGTATTTTGACAAAAGCCAGTGATAAAGGTCTAATGGTCAGTATTCATAAATGCTTAGAGCACTGTTTTACACAGAATATGCACATTTTGCATTATAATTACAGGGATACCTTTAAAAATAAAGCTCTCTAGGGCCTCCCCGGTGGCGCAGCGGTTGAGCGCTGGGTTGCGAAGCTGCCCGCAGCCTCTGCAGCGCCGTTTCGATCCCCGGCTGCTCCCCGGCCACCGGAGGAGGGTCCCACATGGCCCGCAGACCTCTCCTGCCGCCCGCTGCTCCCCTCAGCAGTGTACTTCGGTCCTTCTGCCTGCTCTGCTCCCCGCTCTGGCTCTGGTGAATTCTCTCACCCTCCCGCGCTTCTGACTGTACCCAGTGCATGTATAAACAAACAAACAAATAAATAAAAAACTTTAAAAAAAAAAATAAAAATAAAAATCAAGCTCTCTAGGCATGCTACCTGGAAATTTACTTTTTAAAGTGGTACCTTTGGAACTAAAGAACTTTTTAGTTTGAGATTCATTCCAACTATCATTTACATCGTGCCTGATCCATGTAATCTAATATATTACTCAGTTGTTGATGCAGGTTTGGGAGTGTTTATGTGTATGTCATGGAAACTTTGAAGTAATTTTAAATAATTAATAGGCAGGTTAGCAAGTATCTTAGTAGTTTTCATGGACAAATACTGTAGACAGTATTTTTTTGAAGTTAGTGTCTTATTACTTAATCTGTAGAAACTAAATAAGATAGTTGCGGTGAGACTTCTCTTAGCCAGAAGATACCTTTCCATAATGTTTTTCCAAAAATAAAAATCTAGGCCCCAGCTCTACTTCCTACTCCACAATACGAAATAAACTGTATCTTAATATGTTAGAAACTATCTCAAGTGTATTAGTGTACAACTGAGAAACAGGGATCTATGCTGATAACCACGAAGAACACTGAAGTTGGTAATTCAAAAATTATTGATGTTTGACAGAAATCCATAGTACTCAAAACCCACATATACTGAAGATATGACACTGTATGTGTCAAATCCTCTTTCCCTGTGTGCTTGTCCAACCTGATCTTAAAAATCAAAAGAAGTCAGAATTATATTAAGCAAAGAACATTTCTTCTGGATAATTCAATTTTCTTGAGTGGCAATTTCTCTTAAAAAATCTATGCAGAGCTTTTCTAAGTTTGTGTAAAGTACTAATTAGGCAGTCTAAGCTATGAGGGGACATTTTTTTTTTCTACCTTTCATAAGGATAGAAAATTTGGGCTTTTATTGGCTACTCAAATATAATCAAGGATGTTTTTGTAATTATCCATTTTGAACAAGGAAAAATTTCTAGGGTGGGGTAAATTTTCATCCAAGACAATCAATTTGTTTATTTTTTAATAAAGTTCATGGAAACTAAGTAGTCAGATAAAATAAGTACTATAAAAAGTACTAAAATTTATAACATAAACCAAAATGTATATTCCACAGAACTTTCTGATTCTTCTTAAGGGAAAAATCTCAGTATTATTGCTGTTTATTTACATAATATGTGTCCTCCACACATCCCCTTTGTCCAAACTTATTTAAAAAATCATAAAGAATAACTTCAAAATTTGCTTTTATTTTTGAAATAAATTAAACAATGTTTATAACTTCAAATTTATATTTTCTTATATTTCTATTTTAGATGCTTTTTGAGGATGTCAGCTTCTACATGTGGGAAGTAAATATTGAAGGTTACATGGTTTACAGACAAGATCTTTAAAAGATAGACATTCAAGGTAAGCAGTATTTACAGCCTTATAAATAATATCATTTGTATGTTTAGAGTTGCCATGTTATAATTAGACTTGCTAAATTTGCTTGCTTTTTGTCACTGACCTGTCTAAATGACCTCACAATCACATTAATTCATAGTCAGTCACAAATATTCATGCCCTAGCTCCATCTTGACAGGGAGTGTCAGATTTCATTTATAGCAAGGTGTTGGAAGAGTGTAAGCTAATTAAGACAAATGAAGAAATTAAGTAGGCTCCATCAAAACGAAGCACAACTCAATGTTTTAACTTGAAGAAATAAGAAAACAAAAACTATTCATGTACTATTTTCTCTTTAGTGTAATCATTAATCAGTTTCTTAATCATATTAAGTACTTGTTCCTTAGCCACTCAAAAACACTACCATAGTATCAAGTACTCAGAGTATTAGCTCTAAATAACAAACTTTACTAATTCTTGATTTCCCCAAGTATTTCTCTTGACATACAAGATCCTTTCAGAAGAAGTCAGAAAAATATGTTTTGGAAAATATCCTAATTTTTCACTATTAGAATAAAATTTTACCTGTGGAAAAATCTGCTTTTCCCACTCTGTAAATCAAGTAAAACTATTAAAGCCTATGGTACAGAATTTTCCCCCTTTATTCTGCTTTTATTTATTCCTTTAGAGCACAAGTATTTGGAGTCTATTTTTTCTCCTTAGCCTATGGTTAGAAGCTTGGTGATTTTGCTAGTTTTCTGTGATAAATATTCTTGTCAGAAATGATATTCCCTTGTAAATATACGATATTACTTATTTCTAATATGTTTCTATCCTTATGTAATGAGTTAGTTACTTGGAACAGCTATTCAATTGTTTTGTGAATTATAACAATTAGATAATTATTTTTGTAGTTCTTTCATCTCTGCAGTCTAAAACAGAGTCTTTTGATTTTAATAAAAAGCATACTTTTTAAAAATATACCTTTTATATATAGAGAAAATGGAATTAATCACATTCCTCTGTTCATGGTACATTAGCATCATTCACCCATGTAAGGCACTCATTTACTTATGTATTTTCTCTTGTTCTTATTGCTATTCCCATGCTCCTGACTTTGACCATTAAGAAATCATTCTAATGTTAGTCTAATATCTATTATACTTTTCTCTTTTGTTTGTATGCAATATATTGAGTATTGTTTTCTACAACATGTATTTTAAATATATTTTGTATGAAAGAATTCAAAGACAAAAAGGGAGAATATTATTATGAATCTTCATATGTCCATCTCACAAGAGATATCTCATGGTTGTTCTTGTCTTACCTATATCTCTACCCTGTCCTTTTCCCATGTAGTTGCGTGAAATTTTAATATGCATTAATAGTACTGTGCTGTGTATCTCAATCTGTTTCTTACTCTTTTATTTAACCATATGTTTTGATTTTGTTTTTTATTGATATAGCATTAGTTTATAACACTGTATAGGTTTCAGGTATATAATTTGTTACTTCACAACTATTTATATAATACCACACCAGATGTCCAGTCACCACCCACTACCAACCAACTGGTCACTTCTATCGATGCCCCCTGCTTTCCCTTTTGTTAAACACCATTCTCTGGTGGTTTGTCTAAGGGTTAGTTTTTGTTTTAGTTTTGTTTGTTTTTTCTTTATATCCCATAAGAGTGAAATCATTTTGTAAGTTTTAATGATTTGTTTACATTGCCATTTTCACATTGCTTCTAACTATTGCATAGTATCCCATAGATAGTAGCTGCCATATTTTGATTATACATATTTACCAATGATTTTCATCCTGATTGCTTTCAGTTCTCTCACAAGAAAAATGCTATGATGAGCTTCCTCATATTTTTCCTATCCAGGAACTCTGTGAGGATCTCTTTGTGGCCATATACCCAGGAACAGAATTGCTGAGTAATATGATATGTGTTTATAGCTAATTACCAAGTCCTAGTAGATACTCTGCCAAATAAATAATGTGGTTTATACTTTTCACCAGCAGTAACCCCCATACATGCAATTTTTAACATTATCTAGTTTTCTAATGTTTTTAATCTAGTGTGTGTAATTTTATATTTTCGTTGTTTTAATTTAAATTGTTTTATCACTAGTGAGTTGAACCCTCTAATATTCTTACTGACGTTTTGACTTTGTTCTGGATCTTGTTCATATTCTTTATTTTTTCATTTGGGTTCCTGTTTCTATTACTGCTTTTAAAGAGTTTGTTATATAAGTAGATATTCATTTCCTGTCAGCCTTAGATATTAAAAAATATTTGTTTGCATTTTTTCAACTTTTAATTTTGTGCATGATGTTATCTAAGTAGACATCCATGCTTAATAGCGATTAAAAATATTTTCTTGATGTCTATTGCTAGAGTACCAAAAAATTACTTATTCATAGCAACTTGATCTTGTTTCTAACAACTTTGCTGACCTAACTTTTTTCCCTAGATAGATGATCGTCTGTTAATTACAGATAATGGCAGTCTTATTTCTACCCTTCCTATACTTGTACTTCTTTTTTTTTTTTTTTTTTTTTTTTTTCAGTACCTTTGGTCATTCCTCTGGAAGAATATTAGACAATAGTAGTGACAGTGGGTATCTTTTATGCCCAATCTTAAAGAAGATGCATCTAATTTCTTAAGACTAACACTTGGAGAGAATTTCAAATATATAACTTTTTCAAATTAAGAAAGGTTCTTCTATTCCTTGTTTGTAAAGCATAATTATAAAAAGCTACAAACTGCTTTTTTTGGCATCTATTAAAATTATATGAAAGAATATTAAATAAAAATAAACATGATATTTATCCTGCAGTATATAAAAGTTTCAAATTATGTGGAAAGAATTTTCAATGTTAAACTGTCCTTGCATTACTAGCTTGCATTCTCCTTGATCATGCTGTATTTTTAATTAGTTATTGTATTGGGTCAGCAAATATTTTATTTAGAATTTTGGAATCTACATTCTTAAGTGAATAGTGCTCAAATGTCCATTTCTTTATTTCCTTGTCTGGTTTTGTACTTAAGACCACAATAGCCTAATAACATGAAATGGGAAGACTTACTCTTTTGCTGTTTTCTGCAACAACATTAAAATATATGAGTTTACTTTTTCTTCAGTGTTTGTTAAAACTCATGTATCGAACTATCTGGTTCTGAGGATTTTGAAAAGATTTCTTTGACTGCTTTTTACATCTTTCTATCTCATGAATCCTGGCATGATACCTAATGGTCTCTTCACTTGCAAGTATAACCCAGACCCAGTTTCCTATGAGTTAGGAAATACGCAGATAGTATCAGTGTCCACATCTGAGCCATGTAATGTTCTCCCTTCTTTTGAACTGACTGTGGATTCAATGTACTAACCCTTAGCACTGATCTCTGATCTTCCAAGTCTTCCTTCATATACCTAAATACCCATGTACTTTCATGTACTACATGTACCTTCATACACCCACTGCCATATACCTAAATTAATCCTGCACTCCAACAGTTTTATATTTTCCAAAAATTTTGGTTAATACTGATAGCTTCCTTACATCTCTTAAAATTCTTATCATACTTCTGGTCACTTGTGTCAAGGTTGTGTAAAAGGTAAACATTTTGACAAAAGGATAAGTAAAGCTTTATGTTTAGGAAAGTAAACGTTGGCAATATAATGAGCAATCATCTGGTCTAGTGTTCTGTAATATAAACCAAGTTGTATTAATGCCAGAATATTGTCACTTTATCCTCTAGAGTTTTAAATTTTTGTTTCCAATTGTGATTATCAGGATAAAGTTGGTTTGCATCATTGTTTCAGGCGTTATAGGCATAAACCTCTTTAAATGTATGTTTTTATACCATGTCCATCACCAAAATCCTTCACCATGCATTTGAAATTTTACCGCAACCATCTATCAGAAGCAAAATTAAAGATTTTTCCAATTAAAGATACTTACTGGTAGGAAAGGACAGGAAAAGGTATAGAGAATATAAACAGGAAGTCCACAGACTTACTAGCCAAAAAAATATTTTTAAATGATATTGTAATTTTTGATAAAATTAAATGTGTTTCTCACACTTCCGTTTTTCTCATGAACTTTGTATATCTTTATTGCTCATCCTTCTTTACTTAAAATAACCTTGATAATCATATATCACTTCAAAATAATTCTTGAATAGTCTGACATACCTTTGTCTTACCCATTGCCATCTTGTTGCTATTCCCTACTTTAAATTCTAAGCTAATATAATCAATTTTTCTTTTCCTTTGCTATTAGCTATCTTTTTTAAAAAAGAACACTTAGCCAACATGTTTGATTGCATACTTTATGCATCTTTTAAGTATATTTGTATCCTTTTCATTTTATATTTCATCGAAAATTTCTGAGGCCTTGTATTCTAAAAAATATTTATTATCATAGCCTCATATTTGGATAACTGTGAGTTATATATAAAATTCTAGATTTTGTTTCTTCAGTACTTTGAAAATCCATGGTCTTTTATCCTGTTTTATCATTTCTTCAGAAACATCTTTCTTTATATATTTTGTTTTTCTCTCAGTCCATATTATCCAGATATTTTCAATGTTCATCCCTTAGGCTTTTCTTTATATTTTCTACATCCCTGTCCTTCCCTTAGTCTTGAGACTTCCTCCTGCTGATCTTCAAATTCATCATGTATTCCTCATTTTAAGTCTACTGTTCTTCCAGTCAGTATGTTTCAGGTGAAATATTTTTTATGCCTCACATTTCTATTTACATCTTCGTTTTCTTATTCTTAATTACATGTGGTAATACCTTTTCCTTATTTTTCTTTTTTTTTCTTTTTTTTTTAAGATTTATTTATTTATACAAGAACTGGGGCACAGGCCAAAGGTGTGGGAGGGTGAGAGGATTCACCAGAAACAGAGTGAGAAACAGCACAGACAGACTGACCGAAATACACTGCTGAGGGAAGCAGTAGGTGAGACAAGAGAGGCCTGCTGCACCATGTGAGCATCTCCGTGACTG